AATGATATAATAACAATAACAATAATAATAATTCAATCTTGTGAGTGCATTTTTCTAAAACTAAAAGCCTTAATGCATTTACATTAGAAACAAAAACCTGGAATTAAGTAAAATATAGATAACATGTTTTATAGATAACATGAACATCAATGAATAAAAACATATTTTATTCCATTTCAAGTTGAAACATGCTAAACCATTTGTACAAAATGAATTGAGAGCAGTTAATGGTAGTTTTGTATAAATTGTTTGATATATACTATACATTGAATGATGAAATATAAATATCTAAAAAATTAATGTATGCAAAAATAATATACTAATACAGAAAAGTAGAGCATTTCTTGAAATTAGTTTTGACTAAAACTGTTACTAAATATTGTGTACAACTAAAATCAATACTGTGCAGGTAGTTTTTTTTACTCAGCCAAGCACAGACTGAAGCAAACTACTTGTATTTTCTTTCAATATAAGTGTTTTTAACTTGCGATACAGTTCCAGGAATAAAATGAATAGTATATCTGCATCTGAGGTATCAATGTGTTCTTTAATGAAACAACCATTTAAGTTTAGAACTTAAAAGGCAACCTTAACATGTTAATGTTGCCATATGTCAAAGTTGCTGATGTATTTGAAACTCCCTTGTGTGTCAATCAGCAGTTACAGAAACCCTGACAAAAAAGATGGCGGTGAGTTTGCATAAGTTCAACTTTAATAACGCTCCAGAGAAAGCAGGTTTTAAGAGAAGTATCCAGCACATTTTGCAATACTAATGTATTTAATCAACCAGTGAACTTCGGCTACTGTCATTACACAATAGTAAAAATTATACATTTTATGAATTTACAAAACCACTCCACTTATATTCCTGTATTGGAGGAGCATATGCAATATATTTCATCAATATTAAACTCAATTTATTTCAACATTTATTTATCCATCAAAACGGTGTGAACCAGTGACAGAATAAAAGCATATTGCCTATTTGCAATGTAGGTGATGAGCTTAAAAACTTACATTCATTCTGAGACTGAGAGAACTTATGGTTACATAATACAGGATGAAATGGCACCTGACGACAATATAGGTATTATGAAAGATATTGAAATCTTAAAGTCAAGCAGGGATACTATTTCACAATGTTCTGTATATTATTTTTGTATAAGGACGCACCTTCAAATTGATGTGTGTCACTGATTTTAAAGCGAATCCAAATAAAAATCTAAAACCTGACAAACTGGCAAGGAATATGACATTTCGTACACAATTTTATTTTTCACTGAGTTTGATGTGGCAATAGATTTTGGTAGAATACATACAGCATAGTTAGTGTGTTTTATCATACGACCAAGGCATTCTATTTACACTATGTATGGAGTTGCTATACATGTTGGTGAAATACATACAACATGAAAAGCAGTGCATTTCATCGTCTGTTAGACGCAGAGATTGACAGATTTTGAGTTTTATAAGTTAAGACTATAGGCTATTAAAACAAGTGATTAACGAACGAAGAAATTTGTTTCTGATTGACAGAAAGGAGCTTGAAATTCATTAGCGTTTGTAAAATTTTGTCTGCTTTTCAAATTATCTCATGTGATTGGCCAGTTCGATAGCCGTTGCTTGCTAGCTGTCTTCGGCTAGACTACAACTGGGGCTTGATTTAGTGTAGAGTCGGAACTTTGATTATGCTATTTAATGAATGTAAATCGTATAAGCTGCAACTAGGATCAGTTCAAGTTTTAGCTCAAACTTCAAGATCAGTGTTAAGGTGTTTGTGTTTCATACAATTAGAACTGAGAATTGACAGACTTCGTCCATTTATTACAGTATCAAAATATGCGACTGCTATAACGTATTAGAGGTGGAATCTGTATAAAAGTTAAGTTGTTATATGCCAACAAGTAACTATCACTTCACTTTCAACTGGATGATAATCACTTACTTATATAAAGTAAGCTACTTGAAGAATAAATTTAACTTCTATTATTTTTTGCTTATTACCAATAGAAAAATTGTGGCTGATGTTTAAAAAAATTGAAAAATAAGTACTTCACTTACACAAAACTATAGTTCATATGGCTATCTGTACGGACCACAATAATATCTTTTATGTATTCCCACTCGTTGATGCAAGACTGGCTAGACCTAATGTTATTTTTATAATAATCTGTCCAAGAATGGCTCAGTCCATCTGGGATATAATTATAGCACATGGCTATTTGACTGACTCTGTGCAAAGCTTGGAATGCTGACCTACAAAATTGAAAAAAAGTATCATGTGTAAATTAATCATATCATTGATACAATAATAATAATAATAATAATAATAATAATAATAATAATAATAATAATAATAATAATAATAATGGCTTGTGTTTGTTTTATAATCTTGTATATATCTTAGCCTGTCCTATATACTGATGCCAGTAGATGATAGACCAAAAGGATATAAGTTATCATTTTGGTTTTTTGGGATAGGTCTCTAAATCTGGTTTGTTATTTTGTTTATATACTTATATGTGCACATGTTATCAGATCTTTCCGATATATATATTCAAATCTCCACTATGCCAATAAACATTGTACCCCAATGGAAATAAGTTATCATTTTGGCTTTTTGGGTTACCCTGGTCTCTGATCTGGTTTGCTATTTTCTTTTTATTATATTTATATGTACATGTGTTATCAGATCTTTCCAATATATTCAAATCTCCACTACTCTGACATTTCCAGTAACCTGAAGAAACCAGAAAATGTTCACCGGCAAAAGCAAGGTAGTGGATATATATTGTTATATTGTGATGTGTGATCCTCATATTATGATGATTGTATATAATTTTTCTTTATTTTAAATTTGTTTATATTATGGATTTGCTTCAGAAAAAAATTCAATCAATAAATATATCAATCAGATTATTTCTTCATTTATCTAGATACATGGGCTAAGGATTGCCAATAGTGAATGTATCACTGTCCCACTTATAGGTGGCAGTCCCTTTCACAAGTGAAACATATATAGCCCATGACAAAATATACAAATAATGAAAGTTTAAGAGTGCAATGGAAAGAATATTTTCATGGGTTGAAAGACTGCACAGTTCCATACGACGAGGCGGACCTAAAATAAATTCTTGTCATTTGTTTTTCTTGAAAAAATCTACCCTTTTTCTGAATGGCAATTCTTGTCATTTGATATTTCAAGAAAAAATCTACCCTTTTTCTAAATGGATCTGTCCAGCATCTTTTCAACCAATCAAAAGATTGTATTAGGTTGAAAACCTATCGCATCCTAGGCGCCGTGCAATGGAGCAAAACGGTTGGAACGAAAATGCACGGATGGAAATGAAAATGCACGGTGGAACTAAATTTTCATGGTAAGTGATGAAATGGGGTAAATAACCAATGTCATGTGATACAAAATCCACCAATCAAATGACAAGGATTTTTTTTGGTGTGTTATAAAATATGTAGTTTCATATAATATGTACTGTACGGTACTCTGAAACTACAACCTTGATGAAATTGTTGAAAAAATGTCTTGCAGTGCTGAAGCATTAATCTTTATTTGCCTGTTAAAAAACTCTACTCTCTCAATCAATCGATCAATCAATCAATCAAACAATCGAAATTAATCAATCAAATGTTTTATCTTCTGGAAAACACTCTTTAAATACAGTACACACATTCTGATTTCCCAAGCCTGGCAGATTCATAAAAAAAAGCAAAAGTATTAAGTGAGAATAAACACATAAATCATAAATTTACCAAACAAAATAAATAAATAATCACTTAAACATTCAAACTAACGATATCATAATTGCTATGGAGAATTAAAGGGTGCTCATTCCATAATCTACAACATCTAATGGCATGTTCTTAATGGTAAGTTCTATTAAATGTCAAGTTATTTTATTGGCAAGTTCATTTAATGGCGTTCGATGTAGTGTTCTTTATTTCTAATCCAATTACATCACCTAATAATCCATTGCTGTTTTTAATCGGTGCCGCGGTCGATGACTGTGGAAACGGCGCCTTATAAATCCAAAGATTGACTGAGTGCTTGATTGATAGATCATGAAGTTATAAAAATACTACTTTATACCTCCATGGTTCGATTGATTGATTGATGTCTCTTAGGAGTCCAAACTCAATGACTTACCACATAGCTTGTACAGACACTGGCTTGTATGTATGTGTACTTTTTGGATTTTTAACAGTAAATCCTCTGAAAGATTCAAAAAAATTAATATAAGCACAAATGTTAATACACATTTGAATATTTTAATACTATTGCAGTCTACCTTTAGAAAGAATTAATCAGCAATGAAAGACACACACAAAATATGACTCAACTAAAACAAAGCTTTAATTAGTTCATTAACTTTAGTCGTAGTTTGAGCTTCTTTCAACAAACTTTGAACGAAAATATGAGCAATTTAAAAAAAAAAATGGATACGGTACTACACAGGCCGTAATTTTTGTGCCAAACACAGACTAAATCAAGTTCTTTAAATATTTTTTCACTATAAATGTATTTTATAACTAATAATAAGCTTTCGTTACACCATGTGGCATGTGTATTTCTTATACCATATTTATTATTCAAATAAACACCCCGCTTTGAATAAATGCCCCCTCAAGAACCTCATTTGGAATAAACGCGTCTACTGAATAAAAGCCCTGAGGCATTTATTTTCCCGGTACATAAACTCCCCCTAAATGACTGTAAACAATACTAAATAAAAGCAACATCACTTTTAACACATTCTATTATAATGTTCTACTCCATAAGAATTACATTTTTTTTTTGTGTTGTAGTTCCACATTCATTCCGGGAGATTGAGGGCATTTATTTGAGCATATACGTATCCATTTTACACCAAAAAATAAAAAATAAAATAAACAGCTCTCTTGAATGAATTCCTCCGTCGAATAAACCCTTCCTCAAAAACCTCTCTTTACAATAAAAGCCCCAATGCCTTTATTTGGATAAATGCGGTATGTAAATATGTTGACAGCCTTACCCATCACCATCCAAATCAGTATGAGTAGTTGTAAAAATGGGTTGCACCAGACCAATGGTGGCACCATTCTCCCCTATATCAATACCCAATATAACACTCTCCTCGGTATCTTGGCGACCACTGGCTGATACCAGAACCATGTACCGGATGCGACCTTCATGAAAACTCTCAAGACGAACAGCCTGTGAACATAAAGAAATTGAATGATTTATAGTTACAATAAAAAGCATAAGAAATAGAAGAATACCTATAGTGTTAGGCCGGGCAATGTGCCCCCACGTTCGTCGGCCAACTTGATTCTATGAAGAACGCAACGCGACAACACGCACGGAATGGATCATTCTTAATGACGATCCGTCTAGACTGCCAACAATCAGCATACAGCGTCACGTTGTATAGCGCTTACAGGAAGCGTATGGGGTGCCATACGCAGCAAAAGTCCATGTTAAAATCAAAATGTAATTGCAAAATTCAATGTCTGATTTATCAAAACGTAGGCGTAAATTTCTAAAAATGTGGATCTAGTTTTTCCAAAATGAAGTTCTAATTTTTGAAAACGTAGTTCAAATTTTCCAAAATGTAGTTCTAAATTCTTTAAAATGTAATTCAAATTCAAAACGTATGTCTAACTTGATCAAACGCAATCTCCAAATTCTATTCCAAAACGTAAATCAAAAACCAGCCTGGTTTAAAATGCATTTTACAACAACACTAGAACATGGACTTTTGCTGCGTATGGCGCTAGACTTGCGAAATGTAAATCAAAACTAATTAGCCAAGCATGACGAGGGCCTGTTCCATTAATGATTGGGTAATCATTTCTCGCTGCAGTCCAATGCCGTGAACAACGCTTCCCAGTGCGTCTGCTAATTTTTAATGGTCAGGGTACCATGCTAGGCATTATAGGCTAGGCTTATGTGGGTTGGGATTTGCAACAAGGTCATGGACTAGGCCTCCAGGCGTGAGGGCCCCGACATTGTAGTTTGAAAAATATAAAATATAAACTATAATACCGTAGTTTCATTCATTGGGGCCCCGACAGTTTTAAACAATAAAAGCTGGGTTCTGATGTTTGAAATAATGCTTCTGATTTTGTGATCAATCTGCTTTGCATTATATAGAGCCCCTGCGTTATTAAAACATGTTTAGTTCTCACTAAAGTTGGCCTATTCTCTATTTATTTACACCTAGAGTACATAGGCCTACTGAAGGCCTATACCAGTCCGAAAGTCATGTACCATTCTATGTTCTCTAACAACGGAGTTAACA